AAGGGGTGAGGGTGGGGGTGGGGTAGGGCAGATGGTGGAGGGTAGGGTCGGGGTAAGAGGGTGGTTGGGGTTGGGTAAGGTGGTGGGGGAGGGGTCGGGATTGGGGTGGGTCGAAGTAGGGGCAAGTGGTAAGCGGTAAAAGGGTAGGGTCGGGGTAGGATAAAGGTAAGGAGTACTAGTGGGGGTGGGGTATGGTCGGGTCAAGGGTGTGGGGTCGGGGTCAGGGGTGGGGTCGAGGTAGGGGCGGGTGGTAGGGGTAAAAGGGTAGGGTCGACGTAAGGGGTACAAGTAGTGTTGTAAACGAATCGAATAATTTTGATTCGATTCGTGATTCGAATTCGAAAATGCAGATTCAAATTCGAGTAAGTAGAATACGAATACAAATACAAATCTATTTTTTGATTCGGATACTTTACGAATACGAATACAAATACTATAAATTGAATATCATAGTATTTGTATTCGTATTCGTAAAGTATCCGAATCAAAAAATAGATTTGTATTTGTATTCGTATTCTACTTACTCGAATTTGAATCTGCATATATATATTCATACAATATATAATACTTCTTATGAATACATATAGTTCAATGTAAAAATATTAATAACAAAATATTCATGTAAATATTTTGCATATTTTAATTTAAAAATTCTTACTTTACCAGGTCAAAATAGCTTAATTTACAATTAAAATTCTCCGTTGATTTATCTATATTGATATTAAATTTGAAGTGACTTCTATAAATGAATTTTGTTTCCTATAAAATATGTAATATGAAAATTAGTTAAAAGGAGCAAACTAACATCACAATTGTAATTATTTTCACAAATTAACTTTAATGTTTTTTGAATTCGAATATTCGAATTCGATTCGAAAAAGATTCGAATATATCAAACGAATCGAATACGAATACAAAACAAGATTCGAATTTTAAACGAATACGAATACGAATATTCGATAATTATACGAATACGGATAATATTATCAAGTATTCGATTCGATTCGTTTACAACCCTAGTTACATGTGGGGGTAGGGGTAAGGGGTAGGGGTGGGTCGAGGTAGGGGCATGGGAAAAGGGGTAGGGTCGGGTTAGGGAAGGGGGTGGGGGTAGGGGTGGGGTTGAGGTGGTGTCAAGGTAGGGGAAGGTGGTAGGGGGTAAAGGGGTAGGGTAAGGGGTGAGGGTGAGGGTGAGGGTGGGTGGGGTAGGGCAGGTGGTGGAGGGTAGGGTCGGGGGTATGGGTAAGGTGGGGTATGGTCGGGTCAAGGGGGTTGGGGTCGGGGTAAGGTAGGGCAGGGCAGGGCAATGGGGTAGCAATAGGGTAAAGGTAAGGGTAAATTTGGAAACTGAAAAAGCTTAAAGTGCTGCTTAATTAATACATGGGGGGTGGTATGCTTAGTAAGCGGCACTTTAAGCACATCTTTCGGTTAGTAAGCAGCATTTTAAGCAACTTGCGTGTTTACTTCACCTGTCTTACTAATCTAATTGTGACTTTAGCAACGAAGTAAACGCCTCCTTATTATCTTGTTCCATGCCAATGTTCAATGCACATGTTTACCGACAAAACCGGGTGACAATATTGTTTAATTACCGGCTGCACTACTGATCCCAAATTTCAATCTCTGCCGCCCATAACCCATCTCCATGCTTTCATTGGCATCATATGACCATTGTCCATTCCACATTATCAAGATTTTTCTTTCGCCGAAATAGAATTCCATCAAAACACAACCACTTGGGATAAATTCTATTAAAACCAAAAAATATGCCGACACAATACGGATGAAAATATGATTCTATTAATGCACGATCGTGGTTAATAATCTTAAGAGGGATTAATTGTGTTAGTTTAACCGAAACCGTTGTGTTGAGGTTATCAATCTCAATTGATTTCATCAAGGAGTTAAGAGATTAAAAGCTACTATCAAGTCGGTATATGATAGTGTTCTATATGTGGCTGATAGTAAGGGTTATTAATGAACGGTCGTTGTTAGTAACTACCCTCGATGAATTGGAGATACTCCTAGATAGAGTATTCGAGAGGTGATAAGTTATAGATATAACCGGGATCAACAAACATATCAACAAGTGGAAAGTGGCAAAACCAAGTCTTTTATCTCATTAATTAAAATCATATAAGTCGTTCATCTTAGTGTTTAATAAAAGGGAAAATCGCATATATGGTCCCTCAGTTATCCACGAAAATAAAATCTTAGACTTGTATTTCTGAGATTGAAAATGTCACCCCTCAATTGTCCAAATTGTTGTAAATGTGGTCCTTTAAGTGGTGAAATGTACTCTCGTCCACATTGTATATTTCACCCCTCAAAAGGACCACATTTACAGCATTTTGGACAATTGAGGGGTGACATTTACAATCTCAGAAATACAGGTCTGAGATTTTAATTTCGTGGATAACTGAGGGACCAAATATGCGATTTTCCCTTAATAAAACTAAATCACACAATCCCAAAACCCCCCTTTTATTTACTAGTTTCAAAAAAGAAAAGTATTCATTTCCCTGTTGATACGAACCTTACTACGCTATACTACGTATAGGTGCTAGTATTGAATTTATTTTGAGTCACACAACGACTTTAGTGCCGTCAGTTTGTTTCATGTTATGGAGAAAGAGACACCGGAGAAGGAATAGGGCAGAAGAAAAGGAATACATGTTTTCGACTGGAGAAACGGTTGGCGGTGGATTTCCGACTTAGAGAGATGTGGGAGTGATCTAGAGAGAAAAGGAGCGATTTCGAAAACCATAAGCTAAAGCCTTAAGGGAGTATTTATAGGAGAAGCCGCTGAAGAGAGGTCCAGTCACAAAGCGACACGTGGCGAGAAGCGAACCCCAAAACACGTGTCATGCACGTGAAGGCGGGGAGAGTCAAGTAATCATGATGAAAATCTCAGGTGTCGAATCAGCAGCCGTAACGGTTGGAGCAAGAATTTGATAACATATTCTACATTTAAGAGACTTGACCGCGGCAATTAATGACACATTTATTAGGCTTAATGCTAAAGCTATTATAACAGTTTTATAAGTATTATTATGGCTATCAATGTAATTATAAGGCATGGGTTACTAAAAAATAAAAAATAAATAAAAAAATTAAAAAAAGGCATTGGTTACTAAAAATGGGCTGACCAAAATTAATGACGACATTGAATATCGTCATAACGGTCAAAACCGTCAGTAACGGACAAAAAGACATTAATTACCCTCCTATAAGTAGTTTTATGCTCTATTGTAATTAGGAGGCTGATAATTCGAATAACACTCTAAATTACACTTTATTTCGCTCAATTGACATCTTTCTTACTGTTCATTTCATTTTTCTGTCGCTCTTGTACGAGTCCCAACCTATATACAACTTTCAATTTAATTAGTTTTTAGCTTATTCAAATTATTTCTTAATCAGTAACCATCACTTCAAAATCTCGGGAACAATCAAGATAGGTGTCACTCATGAGTGTTGGGACCGCATGGCTCGGGGCTATTTTTCTCTACTTCCTTTTGTCTCGCGCATGCTCGGAACATCTAAAGTGGGGGACCCGTGTTGGGGTAATTGGCCCTGCATAGAGTAGGCCCAATACCCATGTGGATATATAAGTCTAGAAGTCTGTTAAGACCCCATGGCCGGGCGGCATCACTCGCACGACATGAGATCCTTGAGCAAATCATCTGGACCACTGTGGATGGACTCTCAACCTGCTACCCTAAAATAATTGGCTAGAGAGCAAGGATTTGGCGGGCAGCGCATTTAATGCACCATATATGAAAAATTTTATGGTTGGAGACTAGTCACTCTAGGCTCGCCACATCACCACCACCACCTATCCATTAATAGTATAAATAGTACTTCCTCTATCCCTTAAAACTTTGTACACTTTGACCGGCACGAGGATTAATAAAATAAAAAATTTGTGGTTGAAGTTTGTGTAGATGAGAGACAATTATCTAGAATCACAATTTTTTTACTGAAAAGGGAAAGTGACAAAGTTAGTGGAACATTTAAAAAAGAAAAGTTGACAAAGTTTTAAGGGTCCGAAGGAGTAGCATTTATTTCATTGCAAAGGATTGACAATTTGTATTCCAAAATATTAGCTTCTCTCTCTACTTCTTCTATATTCTCACATCTTAGAATAGAGGCTCGGGGCACGGCTCGACAAGAGTGTGTTGTAATCGTTCTAAGTCATTTATTAAACTTGACACACTTTACCTCCTACTCTTTCTTGCTATTGTTTGTGGCGTCACTTTGTGCCCTCGAATCCCTAAGCAACAACCAAAATATACTCAACCCATTAACTTGCAATGAAAGCCCAAAGGAAAATGTTGGACCTTTGAACCGAGAGGAATAAACTTCAACAATAAAGTATTAGACCAAATTAAGAGTGTCTAATTTCCACAACAAACAATGAAAACTAGTTAAAAATACAAACATACGTAATAAGAAATTCACATTATCAGTGAATAATTGAAATTACTTTATTAGAATGCAAATAATATCAATAAGGGATCTCTATAAATAACTTCACTAATATTAGAAGGACGTGATGTAGTAAAATGCTAAAATGTGACTGGTTTAAATTCACGAATTTACGAATGCATCGTGTAATTTTCCTTCATCTATTATGTCTTTGGCATATGCATTTGGCACCTAAAAACTTTATAAAGTTTTTATATTAGCAAAATAAATAAATACTAATCTCAACTATATCTCTTAGGATATATATTCATGAACTTTTTCAAACTAGTCACAAAAATGTAAAATATTAAGAATATGTACACTTGTGATACAAAAAACTATAAAATTATGTTTTCTTTCACGCATGATCATATTATTCAAGACATATTTATTTCATTCTCTTATTTGCTTTATGTTATTTGTTCTACCACTCTTGCATTTTTTCATGTGATATGTTTGTTTCACCCAAACTATTGCATCATTTTAAACCAAATGATATTTTTTCAGAAAAAATACAGAAAAACCGAAAGTTCCTCCAATAAATGAATGTATTAGATCCGCCCTGAATATGGAGTGTTGAGATCCCTTACTACATCGATTTTATTACGGATCGAGTAGGTACTTGATAATTAAGTGAGTGAATACTACAGTACAAAATAAAACAGAAAAGTATGTATTCAATTAGCAGCTAACCAGGGCGGTAATGGTCCAATTAATACAAGATTAACAATACATAATAATCTCTCCGCCAATTTGCGTGTGGTTAGAAGAAAAGGAAGATGAGAAATAGGAGAGAGGTCCAGATGGGGTGGTGAGCGGCGGCGGCGGCGGCAGCCCCCTTTTGTGCCATTTGCCAGACCTGGAGTGAAGCAGTAACGACGGCGTGGGTGGCATTGTTGAACAAATACAGTTTAGCCCCTGCACCAATTGCCTTTGTTGGATACACTCTTGATGTGATGCACGCTCTTCCTCCCTGACCAAAGCATTCTACTATTGAATGATCCACCTGCACATTCAATTGCCTTTGTTGGATCCGTCAACTTCAAAAAATTATTTGACTCTCCCCGATCCAATTTTGAACTGAAATTTTTTGTTGATAAACTAGGCTCGATGCGGAACATGCCCAAAAAATTAATTAAAAAAATCCACCGTGAAGTAACCCAAATGGCGATGTTCGGATTGGGAAGTGCTAGACATGATCATTTCTCTCTATATATACTATCGTATAAGTGTGTGTGTTTTTTCTCACTTTTTCTACAAGTGTATCCGGCCAGAATAGGTGTGAGAATTCATGGTGGACAAATATGCCTTTGTTCAAGAACTTTTTCAAACTAGTCACATAAAATGTAAATTAAGAATGTATACAATTGTATTTCAAAAATGGAAAAGTATTATTATCTCTCCGTCATACTCATATAATTCAAGATATACTAACTTCTTTTTTATTTATTCTAGTATACTCACATTTTTTATGTAAATATTTCATCCATCGACTACCGTATCATTTCAAATCAAATGACAATATTTAGTAACAAAAACCGAAAAAACAAACGGAACCAAAACAACCCATACCCATCAAACCGTTGTTTCAAGTTTTGAAATGTAAAAATGAACCGCAACCGAATCGAAGATTCTACTATGGTTATGTATTTGGTTTTTGGTTAAAACCGAATAGATAAAACCGAAACTACCCCTAGTACGTACATAGTAGGAGGGTAGAACCAATTTGACACTTTTCTCTTCTTTTATCATGACGGGAATCTCGCTAGAAATGTGTGATAATAATACTTGAACCACGGTACCATACGTTTTCATAGAGGATTAGAGGGCATATACATGGTACCGTAGTAGGAGGATAATTCAGTGATGACGCCATAGAGGGCATTTAAGCAAGCGGGGATGTATACTTGGTATTTAATGAAATATATATATATATATATATAATTAATTACCAATATTCTCATGAGCAGTCTTTCACTATCCAGTACTGGAACCATGGTACCATATGTTTCCTTTCTTACGTCTGTGGCTTGGGATGACCTGCAAATTACAAAACACATCAAATTCAAAAACTTCCGAGGCGGCCTGGGTCAAAATTTAATTATATACAGTATCAAAAAAAATGGTGATTCGTTATTAAACAATACTTGAGTTAAATAATGTTTCATATGTAGTTGAGATAAATGGTCATTTGATGAGACCTATTCAGTTATTGCATTCATATACTACTAATGAGTGAATAAGGTGTTTTATTTTTAAGGTGTTTTAAATTTATAATCAATATGAAACATCAAATTTTGCTCATTTCAAGTGAATATGATAATGTTTTTTGAGGAGTCCTAATTTTTTACTAGTAATGATCGAATTACATGACTCATAATATATCAAATTGAAGATATTTCACACTCTCAAACTTTAAGGGAGCGGGTGACCCCCTTGGTACTCCCATCCGGCCAAAATAACTCATGATCATATATACGTTTCTCAAATCGCATGCAATCACTTTGAGATCGAGATACAACGTAAAGCATGCATGCAAATATATAATGTGTACGTGAATATATGATAGATGGAAGAACTTAACATGGACGTACATGCGGCATACCTTAAATGATCAGCACAAAAGAATGTTTTGAACTTTCCTTTTGCATCCTTTGCAATGTAGAAGTAGATCGGAGTTTGCTCGGAGAATTCAAGGTTAGCTAAAACAAGCAAGCCAAACGGCCCAAAGGCGCCGCGTTGGGCGGCGCCACCACCACAACTGTACGGAACGTCGCTTCCTCCACCTGCCTTTCCTAATGCCTCATCTTCTACGACTTCAAATACACCCTCGATATCCAACTATATATTCAATTACTTAAAAAATTAAACCACAACTTTAATTCACTAGCTAGCTTATTCAGTGATTATAACCTATCACTATTACTGGACGTACTAATATAATTACATAAATGAACTCATTGCATGTTAAATTAAATATACTAGTATGCATGGATTATTCTATGAAAAAAGTATAATACCTTAGCTTGTATAAATTTAAAGTAAATAAAACGTACATACTATACGGAGTAATATATACGTACATAAAAGAGCTAGTATATATATTTTCGGACATAAAATGGATAAGTAATTTTACTGGTGAAATACAACAATCCAAACTATAGATTTTAGGTTACTATTTCTATAATAATTTTTTGGATTAAACGTTAGTTGTCAAGTGTTTGTTGGTGAAATACAAACTTCACCATTTTGCGGAAAGGCCTAATTAAAGATGGTATTAAAGTCTAGCTCCTCCCGTTGAGTGTTAGTTTATTTGTTTGTTTGACCCTCATTAATTTCTTGGAATAACTCAAATTTTCGATCTAATCCGGCCGCTGTGTGTTGCAGGAGAGTTAATTATCTCAGACTCAGACCAGACGTATACGCCATATTTGTGATATAAATTTTAACCTTTGGGAATCAATTTAAAGTACATTATATTACGCCGGACTCACCTAATAAATTTTAAGTTTGAGAGAATTCCGAGTGAAATATATTGAGGTTTAAAGATTGTTACAATGGATGTTGAGGCATTATTTAAGGAGGAAATTAATTAGTAGAAGTAATGAATAATAGAGAAAAAAAGTAGTAGGTATGGTGTAAGAGTATAAAAAGTAAAGATAATTGATTATTTCTAGAGGAAAAACTTGTCAAAATGAAAAGAAAGTTTAGCAAACATTTAAATGCAGAGAAACTGTTTTTGCCACTACCGCCAGTAGCCCTATCCTGAGGTTCAGCTGCCTGCAGCCACGACCAAATCCCACTGAACTCTAAATTAAACCCCTAATCCTAATTAAACACTAATAAGTGTTTTTGTCTACACACAATTTTACTTCTATTTAGGGAAATCAAAATATTAACACAAATTTTAACATTTGTGTTATGTTTTACTCCTATTTTATGCAATTTCTTAAATTTTTGTAAATTCCTCCCACCATGAAATTTAGAATCGAAATCCAGTATCCCAAACAAGTTGTCCACGTAGAAACTTTCATTTTCTGTGTCACTAAGATTCTCTCATATCAAATTTAGTAAATTCTTAGTTTATCAATTCAATATCAACCACATAAACCAACTTATCGTAATAAGTTCATCACATCCTCATGTTCCAATGATAGTGGGACAAACATGATAATAACGTTTTACTACATACTATTCATTGAAACATTGGACTTTTTGCACTATTCACATATTCTTGTTTGACTATATTTTATTTATCAATATATTATAAATTAAATTTTCAAAAAATATTGATAAATTCTTCTCATTTGAAATTTTCAAAAATCTGAATTTTTTAATTTTTTTACTAATAAAGAATGAAAGGTATTAATGGTAAAACTTGTGCGTTGGAGAACGTGAAAAGTGGATTGTTGCAATTAAAAAAGAATGAAGGAAGTATTACTTATGTATGCGGATGCTGCTACAAAGTGAGGACAGCGATGCCGCTAGAAGAGACGATGACGCCATCGAATGAGGCATGGACAACGATGGATATGGCGACAACTGTGGTGACCGATGGCAAAGACATCTTGCAACGGCAACGCCGCCGACGATAGCTGATGCAAGCAGTGGGTGGTGTCGTCATCGACTTGTGGCGATGGTTGTACATGAGAAGAGGAATCCATTATTTTATACGACTAGATTTTATTTTATTACTCCGTATCATTATTATACTACATATTTTGTATTTTTAAGAAATCAATTAGGGTTTTCATTAAAGATAGTTATGTCCAACTCCACCAGTGCAGTTTTACTCTAAGAAACTACAAGAAATTTTGGAACTCCTATTTTTTCACTTTCATAATGTTTTATTTCTAGTTGGCGAATTTAGTCTTTTGTACTTCTACCTCCGTCCTAAAAAGATTGGTCAATTGGCTTTTCTTGGTCAATGATGTCAAAGTTTAAACGATGATTGTATGTATTTTATTTGTATGTAATTTATAAATTTTATACTTTTTATAAAAGTTTTTTATTAAACAACATGTTCATTTCATTTTCATATTTTAAAAAATTTTGGGAAATTAAAAGGGTCAGATAGAGTCTGGAACTTACAAAAAAATGTCAAATAAGGCCTTATATAGGAGGTTCTGTCCGGACGACGCCATTTGGGGTGGTTCTGGTGGACTTTTTCGATGAAATTTTGTGAGTATCATACTCATTAAGTCTAGTTTACTCCAGATTTCAGCTAAAACTTCAATCGGGAAGGCATTCAAATAAATTCGTGAAGATAACTGTGCTTTTAACTGCGCACTTATCTTCAAGAATTTATTTGAATGTCTTCCCGATTGAAGTTTTAGATGAAAATTGGTATGAGTAAACTAGACTCAATGAATAAGATGATCAAAAAGTTTCATTGAAAAATTCCACCGGGAACCGCCCCAAATGGTGTCGGCCGGACAGAACCTTCTATATAAGACCTTATTTAACATTTTTTTTGTAAGTTTAAGGCCATATCTAACCCTTTTTCCAAAAATTTTGCATTGCAAAATATCAATAGTCAAACTTGACATGGATGGAGTAGTTGAAAAAGACAAAAGAAAAGGTAGCGGACCTGATTGGCATCCCCCACATCGAGGTGTACAAGGGAGCCTGGTTGAAGCTCCACCACCTTATGAAATCTGGACTTTTCACTTCTGAGCATCTCAACCTCCTCCACCGGCCACTGTAGCAGGTGTGTACCGGTTTGATTGTCAAGCAATATTGTTCTTGGAATGGCCTGGAGAGAGGCCCAGCCCTTTTGTAGGTCGGCAGATTCAGTGTCGGTTTCAGAAATCCAACCCCAATTAACCCGTCTGCTCTTGACGGGGTCATGGAAGGATTTGGAGGCGTAATAAGTGCCGTAATCGTAGCGCAAGCCGATGCCGGCGTCCAGAGACGGGTGGTCCGGGGTCCAAACATGGGCCTCGTACCGCCCTATCGCGTAGTAGTCCTTCCGCTCATCGTCCAGGCTCGTCTTCAGCACGTGCTTCATCACGCCCCCATCGGCGCAGCCGCCGCTGCTGTCCACCCCGCGGGAGCTGCACACCGGGTACAAGTCCACGCACTCCCACATCCCCGTCCCGCCCACCCCGTGCGCCTCGCGCTTCACCAGCCGGAAGTGCACGAAGTCCTCCGTGTCGAACACCATTGCCACCCCCGTGGTGTTCACCTTTGACCCGATCATGATGTTCCACCGCCCCTCCTCGTACCACGCCGTGGTCGGGTCCCGGAAGTCCCGCACCCCAATGCCCGGAGGGGGCACCAGCACAGGGTTGCCCTGGTACTTGGCCCACTTCACTAGCAGCGGGTCCGACGGGTCCGCGGGGAAGGCGAGGTTCTGCACCTGCACCAGATCCTGGGTGGCCCCCGTGTACAGCATGACCACCTCGCCGGAGGGAAGCACGGTGGCGGAGCCCGTCCACACCCCGTTGGCGTCGTACCAGTGGTCGGGCACCATCGCGATGGGGAGGTGGTCCCAGTGGATGAGGTCCTTGGACACGGCATGCCCCCACACTATGTTTCCCCACACGGCTGACTCTGGGTTGTACTGATAGAACAGATGATACCATCCCTTGTAAAATAATGGTCCTGCATGCATGCGTCATACATCATCATCATCATCATCATGTTTAAATGGTTAATTAGCTCATACGTGACATTTATGCAAAAGTCCATACGATTTGAAGGAAGGATCTGAGCTGAGGGAGTATCATTAGTACCAAGTCGATCAAGTATTTTATTTACCTATATATAGCACTAGTATGTTAGGTTGTAAGAACTAGTAATTAAGAACTGGTCGGATTGGGAAGGCATCCGGCAGGAATGCCGGGTCACGGGTTAAGTTGGGGTCAACCACGTCATTGCCGGAAACCCTACGGGTCAACCACTTATTAATACTACCTCTTCTCGGTCCCGTTTTACCTAATTATCGGTGTGTCCCACTAAGATTATCTCATACCAAATTTGGAAAACTTTGTGTGACTCTAAATCATTCTTACTTTAGGCTTACTTTATCAATTCAATATTAATCACATAAATCACTTTTTATTGATTTGCATTTCACTCCCTCTTGTCCCATTGTTAGCGGGTTGGAGGGAGTAGCAAAGAAAGTTATTCTTCATATTTTCAAATATGTATGTAATAAGTACAATATTTACGTACTCCACAATAGAAATTGTACAAGTAATATATACAGATGAAGTACTATATATACTTCCTCCGTCTCTCTTTAGTTGAATCGGTCAACATTTCACGTTTGCCAACGCACAACTTTGACCGTCATTATATTTAATTCTGTATTAGTAAAAAAATAATAAAAAATAGATTATAAAACTTAGTAATGAGATGAATTTAACAACATTTTTCAAAAAAAATAATTCACATACATTAATAAATAAAATGTAGTCAAAGTAAAGTACATGAATAGTGTATATATTCCAATGTTGCAATTATTGAGATGCAGAAGATAGTATGTAGGATAGGATGAAGTGGAGTATATATTACTCACCGTTAGGGTCTGACCATCGAAGATCGAGTCACGTTCAGGTCCACACCATCAAAGCCGTCATGCATACCAAATGATCCAAAGCACAATGTAAATTAGGTACGGAGCATTATATATATGGTGTGACAATTCCGATACCCATTTAAAAAGTGTATTGAAAACATTTTGCTTCCTATGTATTGAGAACAATTTCTATAATATTATTATTATTACCATGCGCATATAGTGTGTACATACCGTTCATCCAGTTTTTATTGGGCTGAAAATGGAAAGAAGTTCTCTGCCAACTCAGCATTTCTTGCGACCATCTAAATGGCTGATATGATCCCCCCGGCGGCAGGCTAAAGGACTTATTCGACACTCCTTGCGGTACGCCACGCGCCACCGGCCTGCTAGTTGAAACCACCACTCTGTTACCCTTTCCGTGGATGTAGTTGAACACCACAGCAAAGAGTAACGCAACGGAAAGAATCGCCGCTAGGGCTTTGGAATGGCGGCGCCGTCGAGTGCCGCCCAACAAAGGGGTGTGGGGAGATGTCGTCGCCTGAATAACAAGTATAGCGTCGGTTGATTCGTTTTGGGACTCCATGCATGCATATACTAGCTAGCTAGCTAGGTACTATATTTTATTTCTTTCTTACGTACCGTCGATCAGTAAGTGTTCATTTGGTAATTTCTTTTGTTTTGTTTTCACTGCTTTTAAAGTATGAGTTAAGCGAGTGTGGGCGGTGAATTAGGCTTTTCTATAGGTAGTGCGAGGCAGGGAGTTTGTCACTTCTAACATCACCACAGCCACCATACCGAGTCAATCGGATAATAATAATAATAATAATTATTATTATTATTATATTAATAATAATCATAATAATAAATATTATTATCTTTATTATTATAATTACTAGCTCCCTCGGGTGGCACAGAAAAAACTGAATGACAATTATGTCCATCTTTAGTTCTTTATAATAGGTGTCATTAGATTGACTTTTCAATCCTAAACTACAAATTTTTCGGGTGGAATTTCTTGAAGTGCTTCGTGATGGTTACTTTTATGAAAGTTTATGACCAGGTTCTCTATGAATTATAGATTGTGTACACAAAATTTTAGTTTAAAACTCAATATCACAATCAGTTAATAAACTATTGAAACCACGGCATTTTTATGCATATTTTAACGTAACGTTTTTCAATAATTTATTTAACTGATTTTCCGGTTGAATTTTAAACTAAAATTTTGTGTACACAATCTACACATCATAGAGAATATGCTTATAAATTTTCATCAAAAACATATATTTGGAAGCAAATTTGACTGGTATGATTATTTGATGAGTTTATTAATTGATTTTATTCATAATTGATTTTTTTGATTTCTTAATTGTTGATTTTTATCTATTGAGTGTTGGTGTTATAATTTGTTTATTTTGTTAGACAAGAAATTTCAATTAATTAAATTTATAAATTTAATTAATAAGAAGGTGCAATAAAAATGATTGGATCTGGATACGATAAAGCAAAAAGAGGAGAAGATTAGATAAAACGGCTCTACATAAAAAGGTTCAACGAAAATGTTTGTTTGGGTAAGGAAGTCAAATTCTCAATGTCTCAATATGAGAACTCGGAGAAGAAGAACGATTTAGCCACCTAAAATGAAATGATTCAGAATGATCACATCATTAGAGGAAAAATTTAGGAGTTGATAATAATAGAGTTAATTTTTCAAATAAGACTAAAACATTGGTAAAGTGCATGAATAGGTCATCATTGTTTCCTTCCTAAATAAAGACCACCAATACTATAATATTATTAGTTTAGACAGAAGAAGATTGTAGATTTTTTATAAATGCCTTGAAATATTATTATTACTACTACTAGTACTACTATTATTATCATCATCATCACTATTATGCATGCACGGAAAGGGTTTTTTCGTTTTTTTTTTTAAATAAGGCCAATTTTAATTCTCAGCCCCTAGGACTTCAAACTAGGGGTGCAAACGAGCTGAGCCTGATTCTTTATAGGCACGAGCTCGAATTATATTGTATTGACTCGAGCTCGACTCGATTTAGCTTTAAAAAACGAGGCTCGAGCTCGACTCGCAAATATTTAGAAGGCTCATTTCGGCTAGATTGGCTCGATAGTTCGAGTTATTAAAATCACGATTTGAATCATTTACAAAATTGTAATTAATAAAACTCATAAAACAATCGTTCTCAAATTCCTAAAATCGTTCAAAATTGTTGATTTTCAATTTTGAAATTTGACTACACGGCACCATACCCCAACCGAATTACTCATGTCAGCCGGGCAAATTGAAGTGCTCGCTGCCAGACTCGTTAGCTATATAGAAAAGGGAAGAGAGATTTTTTCTAAGCTATTCCGATGTGGGAAGCGGAAACATTAAATTAAATACTCCCTCCGTCCCTATTTAAAAGTGCCCGTTTGAATGGCACACATCTTTAGGCGAATTACTGTTCACCCTTTGACTGACCTTTTTGCCCTTCGAATTGGTGGGGGTTAATTTTTAAAGTTACCAGTGTACTGTTCACAACAGTACACTGCAACCTTTTAAGACTTGTGCTTTATCTGTTCTTATTAATCGCCTGCCGCCAACCCAAAAAAAAGGAGGGAAACTATTCCCTTTCATGGCTGCACTGTCATCATCAAATTCAAAACTCCCCCCAAAACCAACATTAAAAAGGCAACAGCCCAACGAAGTAGTGCCAAATTACATCAGTTTGTCACGCAAAAAATGGCAGAAAGTTATGAGTTACAAATTGCTACAAGATCAAAGTACAAAAAGCTGTCGAATGAAGATAGAAGAACTATCCAAACTCTTCTTCTTCAAAGTGAAAGGCAAGATGACGGAAAGATTGGCTATGGCAGCTTAACAAAAATAGCCAAGCAGTTCTGGGTGCACCGGAAGGCTATATCAACAATATGGCATCTCCTCATGCAACAACAGGCATCTGGAATTCCCTTGAACCCAGATTTGAGGATGAAGGGAAAAGTTGGTAAGAAAGGCTTAGTCATTGACCTGTCAAAAATGCTGCATATTCCTCTAAGCAACAGAAGGAATCTCAGGTCACTCTCTGCAGCTTTAGGTCATCCAAAATCATGTGTGCACAGATTCAAACAAAAAGGTGAATTCAAAAGTCACACATCGGCTATCAAACCTCATTATACAAACTTGAATAAAATACAGAGGTTAAAATGGATCATTTCTAACATTGAGGAGGACATAGTAACAAATGTACCCCAATATAAAGGCATGTTTAACGTGGTACATGTGGATGAAAAATGGTTTTACATGACAGAGGCATCACAGAGGTATTACCTACATCTGGATGAGGTTGAGCCTCATAGGACATGTCAATCTAAAAGATTCATCACTAAAGTGATGTTCCTGTGTGTAGTTGCCAGACCAATTATACAAGCAAATGGTGAAGTGATTTTTGATGGCAAAATTGGAATATTCCCATTTAGTACAATGCAATCTCTACTTTTGTATTTTGACTGTAAACAATGCTTGCCACACATCCCCATGGTCTCCTAGGGTTTCCCGTGGTGACTTAGTAGGGGTGAAACCACATAGGAAGCACACACTACCATCACAGACGAATTACAATCATTAGAAAACCAATTGCATGCAGTTCATCATTGAAGACATTCACATTACAAACCCCATGGTCTCCTAGGGTTTCCCCTGGTGACTCATTAGGCCTCAGACACACATAAACAGTTCAGAGTTTCATCATTGACCTCATACAAGCATCACACACTCACCACTATGCACACACTGACCTGAGGCCTCATACCAACCACACTCACAGATCATTGACCTCAGACAAGTACACACTGACTTGTCATCATTGAAATCAGTGATGGTCATCACTACTGTCTCCCCGGGGCAATCCCGGCGCACTATGCACAAGATGAACCCGATCAAGAACATGCTGAAGAAAACCCGCCCTTCATACCTAATCAACCACAACAACAACTTGATGCTCCAGCCTACCAATACTCACCATTCGAGCAACGGATGCTCGATAACATGAACATGATCAACAACAACTACATCATGCTTC